TACAGTGTCATTCATACAAATAACTCTTAACTCATATAAAAAGTTGTGAAAACTATTGGGGAGTATATCGCATACTATAGCCACACATAATATCATGACTGCCCCCTCGACCACTGACATAATACTGTAGTAATAATCATATTTATCAGGTTGTACTAGCATACATAAACCAACAACACATCTAATACTGTAGACCACAAAAGTTATCAAGGTATAATAGGAAATAACTTTATCAAAAGTTTTAATAAATATGTTCACTTTAATTATAAACTTATAAATCTTATCTAAATCAAAGTCGGAGCTATTAATATTATTAGTTATGAATTTAAATTGCTGTGATATGATACATGATTTGTATGCGATTAATGTCATGATAGCTAATTGTGAATTAACTGATAATAAATCAATAGGTATTAAAATATAATTTTCAAATCCATACGCTGTAGTCATATAATTAGCCCAACAATATAGGAATTCCAGTGAAAATGCTATAATAAATGTCAAGATAACTAAAATTATACCAATTTTTGTCTCACATTTTTCGCTAATATAGAGATTTTCATGTGTTTTAAATAAGTCCACAATTTTTGGGCCTCTAATGCATAGGAATATGCAATCGATTATAGTTTTAGCCACAAATCCCACGATTGCAATAAACCGTAAAATGTATAATATTTTCACTTTATTTGATACAATGATTAGTTGTTTATGCATTACAAGTATTGAATAAAATTCTGTGTAGAATTGATAGATAATCAACACAATATATGAAATATTTAAGATTAATACCAATAACTTCTTGTAAGTAAATAAGCTGCTGTTTATATTGTGTCCAAAATATGCATTTCCAGTGAATTGTAAATAGCGCACAATTATTTTGAAACCTTTCATTGACATATCAGTATGCACTATAGTCAGTATGCAATTCAAATGTAAACTGACATAAAAAGTTGTATGTTGCATTCAATAAACAAAACAAATGTTAGAATAATGAATTTTATATAAAAGTTGATTAGCCTTATTTCTAGTTTATTTGTATATACAGTACAGTAGAAGATATAGTTATTAACTTATTATCTAATTTTGTTAATTAATGTAATGACTTTGTATTTTATGTACAAATATCAATAATAATTATTTTGGATAAACTATTATAAAATTATTATTTTTATAATAAAATTGAAGAATTAGATTAGTGTAAAATAATATTTTCATTTATTTTGCCTAATTTAGTAGCTTATGGTATATCTTAACTTATAACGTTAGCTACACAATATTTGTATAATTATTGATGGTTTTAATTTACATTATAAAATATACTTAAATAAAAATGTCTATAATTACATATAAATTATAATTATAATAGTCTAAATATTAATGATGGCATAGCATATGACATACTAATAATTAGCAAAACCGTAAACATGTAATTAACATTTGTTTTGACATTTCAGTTCAATTGCTATGAAACATAATAATCGTCACATTGCAAGGTCAATTACATTTTAATACTTTAATTAATAACCTAATTGAACTTGTGCTATTGAATAATTTAGCATACTGTACAAAATAATAACTAATTAAAAATTTTTATTATTTTGTATTAGATAATTTATTTTTGTGAATATGAGGTATGTAATAAAAATGTATTGCTAACATTTGAAATAATTAAATAAAGTTGACTTTACAGATAATCATTAAAACATTATTATTTTTAAAAATATGTTAACACTGTATTTGTTTAAATAAAAACATGTACAGTAACAGTGAAAAGTCAGTTTTTGCATTATTCAAATAAATATTATTAATATTCATAAATAATACAGGCTATTTTAAAAATATCAATTTAATAAATGTTACTTGAAAATATCTTAATAATGTAATTACAAATGACTTATACTATATTAACCGGTTGTCTCTCAACCACTGGCCAATAGTGTCAGCGTTGTGTTGAATCCAATCTATATTTTTCTGGATTTCTGTCAATCCATTCACACGACTCTCATTTGTGAGACCAGTGTTTGGGTACAGATTTAGGAAGTTCTCCACCTTTTATGACAATATTTATTAGGTTTAGCGTAATGTTGTTAAAGTCATAAATATTATTATTCTTACATCAGATTTGCTGTTAATATCACCAAAATATTTGCAAATACTGATGAATGCATTTGACAATTGAGTTGAACTCAGTTTTCGTATAAGAAGTTCGTAATTGTTTTGAAAGTATTTCCAGACTATGGGTGAGGCGTAGGAATTGGAGGACAGGTCTGACAATAGGGACGAGAAGTGGGTCTCAGAAACCGATGAGTTATCAACTGATCGCTCCAAAAGTCTGTTAAAAGTATCAAAATTAGTGACTTTTGTATAATACATTTAAAATCATTTCTATAATACAAACTCATTCAATAGCTTTGTATCTCTAGTCTGTGATAAAGCACTCAAATAATAGTATTTATTATTTGTGTTTGTTTTGAGATATTTATGCCAAACGTATTCAAAGTCTTCG